TCTTCTTCTTCTTCTTCTTCTTCTTCTTCTTCTTCTTCTTCTTCTTCTTCTTCTTCTTCTTCTTCTTCTTCTTCTTCTTCTTCTTCTTCTTCTTCTTCTTCCTCTTCTTCCTCTTCTTCTTCTTCTTCCTCTTCCTCTTCTTCCTCTTCTTCTTCCTCTTCCTTTTCTTCTTCTTCTATTTTTGGTAGCAGATGGGAGACATATTCCTTAAGTGCTGAAGTTTGGACAACAAAAACAGAATTGCTTTTTATCTCAACTTGAGAATAATTTTATTTGGAGGGGGTCTTGTGATTCTTTTTTTTAAGAAAAATATATTTTATTGATTTTTTTGCAGAGAGGAAGGGAGAGGGATAGAGAGTTAGAAACATCGATGAGAGAGAAACATCGATTAGCTGCCTCCTGCACACCCCCTACTGGGAATGTGTCCGTAACCAAGGTACATACCCTTGACTGGAATCGAACCTGGGACCCTTGAGTCCGCAGGCCGACGCTCTATCCACTGAGCCAAACTGGTTAGGGCGAGACTTAGTTTTTATCCTAATATATGGGCTATCTTTGAAAATGTCCCATGTGCACTCGAGAATGTATATTCTGTAGCTTTGGGGTGAAATGTTCTGTAAATGTCAATTCCATCTGATTTATTATGTCATTTAGAAGCGTTGTTTCCTTGTTGATTTTTTTGTCTAGATTAGAAGATCTATCTAGTGATGTCAGTGGAATGTTAAAGTCTCCCCTACTATGCTTGTATTGCTGTCTATCTCTCCCTTAAAATCCTCCAGAAGTTATAAAATATATTTGGATCCTCCTATATTGTGTGCATATAAGTTTACCAGGGTTATATCCTCTTATTGGATTGATCACTTTGGTATTATGAAGTGGCCTACATTGTCTCTTGTTATGGCTTTCACTTTGAAATCTGTTTTGTGAGATATGAATATTGCTACCTCAGCTTTTTTTTTCATTTCCATTTGTTTGGAAAAAAATTTTCCATCCTTTCACTTTCATTCTGTGTGAGTCGTTTGTTCTGAGGTGATTTTGTTGCAGACAGCATATATATGGGTCATGTTTTCTTATCCATTCTGCTACTCTATGTCTTTTAATTGGAGCATTTAAGTCATTTACATATAAGGTTATTATTGATAGGTGTTTATTTGTTGCCATTTTTATTCTTTATGCCTGTGTTGTTCTCTTTCTATTTCTTCTTTGTACACTGGTCCTTTTAGCATTTCTTGCAGTACTGGTTTGGTGGTAATACATTCTTTTAGCATTTTTTTTTTGTCTGCAAAGCTCTTTATTTAACCTTTGATTTTAATGATAGCCTTGTTGGATAGAGTAGTCTTGGAGTCAGTCTCTTGATTTTCATTACTTTGTGTACTTCTTGTCACTCCCTTCTAGCTTGAAGTGTTTCTGTTGAGAAATCAGCTGACAGTCTAGTGGGAGCTCCCTTCTAGGTAACTTTCTGTCTCTCTCTTGCAGCTTTTAAGATTATTTATTTGTCTTTAATATTTACCATTTTAATAATTATTAGCTTACTAGTATGTGTGGGTCTTTTAGGGTTCATCTTGGCTGGAACTCTGTGTTTCCTGAACTTACTGGCATGTTCCTTCACCAGGTTAGGGAAATTTTCTGCCATTATTTCAGCATACAGATTCTCTATTCCTTGCTTGGATTCTTCTCCTTCTTGTCCTGCTATGATGTGAATGCTCTTACTTTTCATGTTATCTCCTTAATCTGTCCTCCTGCCTTTTAAATATTTTCCCATTTATTGTTCTGAATGGGTGTTTTTTTCTACCTTGTCTCCTATTTCACTGATTTGGTCCTCAGCTTCTTCTAACCTAATGCTGAATCCTTCTGTGTGTGCTTTATTTCAGCTATGTCGTTCCTCATTTCCAATTGATCCTTATTCATTGTTTCAACCTCTGTTTTCATGTTGATGTAGCTATTCTTAAGTCCCTTATAATTCTCATTAAGTTTCTTTTAGTTCTCACTGAATTGTTTGAGCACCATTTATTACCATTACTCTAAATTCTTTACCTGACAAATTGCTTGCCTCCATTTCATTTAGTTCCTTTCCTGACTATTCCTCCTTTCCTTTCATTTGGGGGTTGTTTCTTTGTCTCCCTGTTATGGCTGCCCCTTTGTATTTGTTTTTATGTATTAGATCAAACTTCTATGTCTCCCAGACTTTGTGGGGGTGGTCTTATATAGTAGATGTTTTGTGGGGCCCAGTGGTGCAGTTTCTTAGATCTCCTGGGCTGGGTGTTCTAGGAAAGCCCCCTACTTGAGTTATTTGGGTTTTCCTGTTGTAGCTGGGTCTTGAATGTTATTGTCCTGTTTGTGGATAGAATCTCCTCTCAGGTTGGCTGACTATGTGGCTTACCCCCAACCACATCATGGAAGCTGTTGTGGAAATGCTGACAGAATAGAACAAAACACAACACAACAAAATGTAAAACATAAGAAACAAAACTAAAACTTACACAAGACCCCTACAGCAAGTACAGAGAAGAGGAAATTAGGAAAGAGACTAGGGAGTAGGAATGATAGAAAAAAAGAAAGAACAAATATGAAGAGAAAAAGAACAAAACAACCAAACAGACAACCTCTCCCCCCCGGCCCCACACACACACAACAAAACAAAACAAAACAAAAAAGGGGTGGGGAAGGAATATGTCAGTGCAGAGTGGTCTTCAGGTGTTTTCTCTTCCTTGGTATAAGTCTTCTCCTCAACTGGACCTCAGTTGGTAATTCCAAGTGAATGTTCTCCAATTTAGTTGTATTTCTAGTCTGGCCCTGGGAGGAGGTGCATGATGGGTCTGCTTATTTAGCCACCATTTTTTGAGCTCTCCTTCGAGTATTTTTTCATTCTTCTCTTTTTAGTACTAACTGCTTATCCTTGAGGACTTAATTCAATAATTCTCTGTAAATAAATAATAAATAAATAAATAAAATAGTAGAATGATAGTTGCCAGAAGGGAGAGGGATGTAGGAGGCTGGGTGGAAAAGTTGAAGGGATTAAGAAGTACAAATTGGTAGTTACAAATTGGCATGCAGATGTACAGCATAGGCAATATAATCAATAATCTATATATATAAAAGGCTAACATGCAAAGTGTCTTCTCAGGAGTTTGACCAGGAGACTGGAGCCCAGTTGCTCACTATGACATGCACTGACGACAAGGGGTGATGTGGAATGAAGGAAGGCTCTTGCTGGCTGCCAGAAGGCCCCAATCGGCCCTGATTGCTGACCAGGATTAGAGACCTTACCTGTGCACGCATTTTGTGCACCAGGCCTCTAGTTTTATAAGAACTATATATGGTGTCAAATGGATCTTATATTTATCAGGGTGACCACTTTGTTAAGTTATATAAATGTCTGATCACTGGATTGTACACCTGACACTAACTTAATGTGGTACATCAACTGTAATTGAAAAATAAATATTTTAAAAAGTCATGTGTTAAACCATCTTTATATCTTTCAGAACAAGCATTTAGTAAACATTTGTTGAATTGAAATGCTTAGAACGCCATGCTTCTCAAGATTAAGAAAATAGCTTGCCTCATTAAATTCCTTGATCCATAGTAGCCCTCATTCACCATGTTGTCACAAACCCTATTTCCACCTGTTATACTTTCGTTGGTTTCCATTAAAATTACTTTGAGATCAATCAAAGAGAGATCATTTTGTGCAGATGGAATGCAAGGAAAGCGGCTTTTGACTCTGTGTTGCATTTTGGCTTTGAGTTTCATTTCTTCTCCTTGTTGCAGGACCCTAACAGGAGTGTTCATACCAGCAGCAGCAGCAGCAGCAGCAGCTGTAGCAGCAGCAGCAGTAGCAGCAGCAGCAGCAGCAGCTGTAGCAGCAGCAGCAGCAGCAGTAGCAGCAGCAGCAGTAGCAGCAGCAGCAGCAGCAGCAGCACCAGTTTTTCAAAGCCTCACAAATTAATGAAGGAGCACAAGGAAAAACCTTCTAAAGACTCCAGAGAACATAAAAGTGCCTTCAAAGAACCTTCCAGGGATCACAACAAATCTTCCAAAGAATCCTCTAAGAAACCCAAAGAAAATAAACCACTGAAAGAAGAAAAAATCGTTCCTAAGATGGCCTTCAAGGAACCGAAACCCATGTCAAAAGAGCCAAAACCAGACAGTAACTTACTCACTATCACCAGTGGACAGCAAGATAAGAAGGCTCCTAGTAAAAGGCCCCCCATTTCAGATTCTGAAGAACTCTCAGCCAAAAAAAGGAAAAAGAGTAGCTCAGAGGCTCTATTTAAAAGTTTTTCTAGCGCGCCACCACTGATACTCACTTGTTCTGCTGACAAAAAACAGATAAAAGACAAATCTCATGTCAAGATGGGAAAAGTCAAAATTGAGAGTGAGACGTCAGAGAAGAAGAAATCAACTTTACCGCCGTTTGATGATATCGTGGACCCCAATGATTCTGATGCGGAGGAGAATATGTCCTCTAAATCTGATGTGAGTAGTCTTGTTGGCTTCCCTCCTTCCCCTTCTAAGCTTTCAGATTTTATTTCAGATAGATTCAAGATAACGAATGAGGGAAGAAAATGACAGTTGAACTATAACATGGTGATATGGAAGTGCCTAGAAATCAGTTTCTTTAACGAATGGAAAGAAGGAAATGAAATCATTAGGAAACATGTAGATTTTTAGGCTGTGATTTAAAGGAAAGATATATTCAATAGTATTTGAACAGCAGCAGAAAAACGTAGATGGTCATTAGAGCTTAGGTACTATGCTTTTCAGTGATTGCCAAGTTAGGAAAGTAAGAAGAATGCAATAAAACTTGAATACAAAGGATAGTAAATTTAAAAGAGAAACTTAAAAAATATTAGGGTTAAGCTATAATGTTGATCTATTTTATCAATGAAATGAAGCAATTTGTTTACATAAAGGGAAGGCTGGTGATAATATTTTTAAACAGTTTTATCTAGCAAAATTGATGTAGCAATAGACTATCCATATATAATTTGATAATTTTTAACATATATATGTGCCTGTGAAATCAGGTGACAGTATTTTAAAAACAAAATATTTATTTTCATGGTATAGACACTGTTTTGTTTTTGTAGATGTTCCAGACTGATTTAAAAGTACAACAACTGTACTTTCTGTATTAGTTTTCTCATAGTAGTAATGCTTTTATTGTGATCTTCATTGCAAGTTTTTTTCCTGACAAAAGGGACTAACTTTTGTGGGTGCCCAAAAGGCCATCTAGTTTCCCCCCAAAATGTTACCTGATGTTGAAATTTAAACTTATAATTACAGATGTCAGAGTTGGAAGGGATTTTCAGGTTATCTATTCTAATCTACAAGCGTAAGAAATCTTACACTGTAGAGACAGGACTGTTAGTAATTCAAAAGGTATTCGATTCTGTTTCTAGAGAATAGGCTAAAAACATTATTTACTATGAGATTATCTCTTCCTCACATTTCCTTTTTCTCTAATTTTGGCCTTCTGTCATTACTTATCAGTCATGATCAATCCTAATAATCTCCACATATTGGCTTGTCAACATTTCTAGACAGTGGTCAAGGAAAATGTCTGGCTAAAAATTGCTGGTGATTTGAGAATACTACTTCTTTTCCTATTCCCAGGCTTCACGTCACAAATGTTCCTAGTTCGAATGCTGGCGAGCTTTAGGGGATCTTAGTAGCAGATTCTCTCTCCTGTGTTTGCACTGTTTTGGGTTGAAAGCCAGCCAGAAATAGGACATGGCATCCATACCCATCTCTAGTCATCCAGAGACCACGTACTTCCCCCCTACTCTCTAGAGCTAATCTTGAAATTTAAATAGAAGGTCATTATTAGGAGCAGAGTAACATAAAAAATCATGGAGATTGAGTAATTCATCCCAGTGTTTGGTAAAGGTGTAATAGTATAGTTCGTGAAATGGAGATGAGAGCTAATGGGTTTGTTCCAATATTTCAAACATTTATTTTTTTTTTCCTTTTTACCTCTCCTTTTAAATCAAAACTTGTTCTTAAGGCAGATGCTACTTGGAACTTTTTTTTGTATGTTTAACTTTTATTTCAAATCACCCTGAAATGTTCACTGATGCAGTTGGGTTGTGATTAGTCTATCAAGATTGTCAAGTTTAGCAACTTTGTTCTGACATGTTGTGATTTTTCTAGAAGAGAGGTTTTTAAATTATGGGTTGTGATTCACTGGTGAGCCATGAAATCAATTTAGCATGTCATCATCAGTATTTTTAAAAAGTCAGAATACATTGTAATTAGTAGGGGTAAATAGTGGTTCATGAAATTTTTATTTCAGAGGGTCGGTTATTTCTTATAGTAGGTCATGGTCAAGTTTTTAAAAGGCATCTTTCTTGAATGTTTGCTGGTGTGTGAGAAGACTAATGCCATTCACCAAGCAGTACTGAATGTTCTTTCTACATGAAAGTTATCCTAGGTTATCTTTCTCTTTAGGTATTTTTGTGTGGTCTTGTTTTTGTTTGCCTCTTGCTCCTTCCTTTTTTCATGATTTATAAGGTATAGCTTTTCTTTTCATAGACTTTATGTCCAACTAGGTATATTTATTCAAAGCTATAACTTTAAAAACCTTCTGGAATGAAGAGTTAGAAATATAATTCCTTACAGTGGGTAGCAAACTTTTTAAATAATTCATGATATAATAGAGCCACATATCCAGTGATCATAACAGGAGTTTTTGTAATGTACATATCGTTATTGAGAAAGCCTGCAAGAGTTTGACATGCTTGCACAGACTTTCAGGTTTTATTTGGATATCAAACCCAATAACTGTACCTCCCTTATCAGTTTTCTGATAGTAGTAATGCTTCTATTGTTGCTGCTATTGGTTTAATTCTCTAAATGTAGGAGGTGTAACAGAAGAGAATTAACAATAGTGGTTCCAAGTAAGCCAGGGCCCAAAAGACCATTCTCTGAGCAAAGGAGAATAAAAGAGGGCTGAAATTTCCTTTATTCCTAAGTAAAGATAACTTTTGTTTGGCCTTTCTACTACCTGGTGTCCCTCCTGTGGGCAAGACAACGGAAGGAACAAACAGGAGGCAATTCTAATGGAGAGCCCTCAGCAGCCCTAAACTTCCCTTGGTCTATAATTTCCTTGATGGTAGCTTGGGGTAGACCCAACTTCAGGGAGCAACATTCACATTGTCCTGGTGGTGAGCGTGTCTGCATCTGAGTAAGTGTGATCAGATGACCTCATCTCTCTAAAGTCCTTTCCAGCCCAGCTGGTGTAGCTCCTCAGGAACCAAGAGGTCCCCAGTTCGAATCCTGGTTAGGGCACATGCCCAGGTTGTGGGCTTGATCCCAAGTAGAGGGTGTGCAGGAGGCAGCAGATAGATGATGTTCCTCTCTCATTGATGTTTCCATCTCTCCATCCCGCTCCCTTCCTCTGTCTCTAAAAATCAATAAAAACATTTTTTAAAAAGACCTTTCTAGCTTCATTATTTAAATGTGAGCCAGATTTATGTTCATTCGTGAGGGATGGGGTGGTAGGTAATTTTAGACACAGCAGGTGGAAATCATGAACATTGGAAACAGAAGGAAGACACAAAAAATAATTGGAAGAGTGTGAAGAATTAAGAAGGGCTGGGGTAAAAAGATTATTTACCTGGTATGTCGTAAAAAAACACACACACAACAACAACATCTTGCCTTGGTATAAGTTAGTTACAATGAAAAGGAAGAACTTTTTAAAGAAGTTTTTTAAATAAGTTAGATTCAGGTTTTATATAAAAATCAGTGCTATTGAGATGGATTGGGAAGCTTAGATTGCTGATTGATATGGTTGTTTTTTATTAAGATTTTTATTTACTTTGTAAACAAGAAGAGGCAAGCCTAAAGTACACCCATGGTTTGTATGCCTGCATATTTTTTGTGGGATCACTTATTTGAAGGTAAATATTTAGGTAGGTGGGTAGATAGGTAGGAAGGCAGAAAGGGAGTCAAGTAATCCAGTATTTATGAGTCTGTACTGTGGTGTTAGACAAGCTGGCTGTGTTTTGAATTCCACTTGTAACTGTGATCTCGGGCAAACAGTTTAATCTGCTCTATTTCTTAGGGTTTTTGTTTGTTTTGTGTGTTTTTTCTGTCTGTGAAATGGAGATTATAATAGTATTTACTTTGTAAAATTATTGTGAAAATAGTCAATCTGGGTAAAGCATTTAGTAATCTAAAAATCTGAGTTAGCCCTAGCCGTTTTGGCTCCGTGGATGGAGTGTCAGCCTGCGGACCCAAGGGTTTGATTCTGGTCAAGGGCATGTACCTCGGTGTCAGGCTCCTCCCCAGCCTGGGCCCTGGTCAGGGCATGTGCAAGAGGCAACCAATCGATGTGTTCCTCTCACATCTGATGTTTCTTTCTGTTTTTTCCTCTCTCTCTCCAACTCTCTCTAAAATCAATGAAAAAATATCCTCGGATAAGGATTAAATAATAATAATTATTATTATTATAATAAAAATAATATAAAAAATAAAAATGTGAGTTAGCCATTGTTATGCATGAGTTGGATTCTGGAAACCTTTATAACCTAAAGCATTGAAAGATATTTTTGATATTCAATAACACCACAGAATGCGCTTGTCCTTTATTAAGTGTGTGGCTTATATGTTTTAGAGGGCAAAGGGTACTTGCAATGGCTGTCATGTTGCTCTGAATTTTTGTCTTGAGGAGATATATGACATTGATATTGATATTCATGTGTTACATATGTTCTGTGGGGATAAACAGGACAAAAGAATGGCTCCAAGTTTGTTTTTTATTTTAATTTTTATTCTGGAATATAAAGCTCTTTTTTTAAATCCTCACCGAGGATATATTTTAATTGATTTTTAGAGAGATGAGAGAGAGAGAGAGAGAGAGAAGGGACTGCTGCCCAAATACGTCCAACTGGGGCTCAAACCTGCAACCCAGGCATGTGCCTTGACCAAGAATGGAACCTGCCACCTTTTTGGTGTTGGGGATGACACTCCAACCCCAGCTGAGCCACCTGGCCAGAGCTAAAGCTCTATTTAATTAAAAAATCATTGATACACAATATTATATTAGTTTCAGGTACACAGCAATGATTTGACATTTATGAAGTGATCACCATGAGAATTCTAGTAACCATCTATCACTATATAAAGTTATTGCGATATTATTGACTGTATTCCCAATGCTGTACATTACATCCCCATGACTTATAACTATAACTTTGCACCTCGTAATCTCCTTCACCTTTTTGCCCATCCCCCACCACCCAAGCCTCTGACAAATATCAGTTCTCTGTATTTTATGAGTCTGTTTGTTTTTTATTTGTTTAGTTTTGTTAGATTTCACATATAAATGAAATGACACAGTATTTATTTTTCTTTGACTTATTTCACTTAGCATAATAGTCCATCCATGTTGGCAAGCATTCTGGGAGCCTGGGAACACGAGGGCTCACCACCCATTGTTGGTTCTTGGCTTTGTGCAGGAAAGAATTCAA